TTTTCAATATCAAAATTGAGCCGCGACCCAAACCCAACTCCACGAGAGAGATTTAGGTTTTTACCAATATTTGATTCAGCGTCGACGCTACTCGTAGTCGCAGCCATATTTGCGTGAATATTAATTCGGAATAGCAAAACAGCAGTATGTAATATGAGATAATTGACATGTCATCGCTAAACGCCATAGGTGTGGTTGCCAGCTATCGCAATATAATTGGCTAATTTGATTTCCCGCGGAATTTTTCCAAGCTACTAATAGGGTTTACAATGCTTATTCGTCCTTTTATGCAAGTAGATTTCAAGTATTAACCACTGACCATTGATTGTTGGCTCATCAAAACATAGGAAAATTGTGTGACAACTCAAAATAGACGAATTCTTCGGACAAAACAGCCATAATTTTAGGTAATATTGCAACAATTTGATATAATTTGATCACAGTAAGGACTAAAATGTTTATATCTTTCTCTGTATTCAACATATTTCAACAAAATTTGGCATAAACATAGGCAAGAATGCAACAAACAATTTGCACAGAGTACGCATTTGTCCGCCTAATAACGTTCGGTTAAGAATTTTTTATCTATATGTCATCACTAAAAAACGGGGAATATATGTAAATCGGAGGCAAATGCTTGAACGACGGCGTACTCCGTACAAAATATTTCTATTGATGCCTTAAGTAAAACCTCGTTGTTTCAGCTCAATACGTTTAAAACGAAAGCTACAATTAATGGCTAAATATGGCTATTTTGGGACTTTGGCATGCATTCCCACACCCCCCTGGACACAAAACTGTTGTTGAATTGCAAAAATGAGTTGAACAACCCAAGGCCTTTCTAAATACTAGCTTTCAGATTTTTTCGAATTTTCAAATTTGAGTCTCCAGTACTACCTTAACCTCTAAACACATAGTAATGGTGGCAACTCTTGTGCTGTCAAGATGTTTCGTCTTTCGGCAGCAGGTTGTCAAGACATTGTGTCTTTCGGCAGCCAGTTAAAGCCTTATTGTGCTAAGTACTGAATACTATCAGTTCCATACCTAAAATTAACTGTTAAGTGCAGTCAGTTAAAACCTTAAAGTGCTACTGCAGCGAATTTTTCGACCCTCATTTTTTTAGCTTAATTAAAAGTGCTTTCCTTCCTGACCTGTTTACCACAAACAGAATTGAAATTGGTCAATTCAAACCGATTTTATAGCCTTCCAAAGTGGCCATTTTTGGCACTTCCTGTGCGAACTTTTGATCGGCCATGTTGATGCCATGTGACGTCATAAGATGAACACGATTTTATCATGGCGTATTAAAATTATAGTAAAACCAACAAACGCGGAGATGAAGGCCGTGTTTCTGGCAGTTCTAACTTAGATTATTGCACGAATTCTGAACAGCCTGAAGGAATACCCATGCATCCATTTCCCAACAAAGAAACAGATCCACAGAGTGAAAGAAAGGCAGTGAATTTTATCCGTAAACATTGACCGCGGGTTTTCACGCATCTGCGAACCTAGTAGTGTTTTGATTGACCCCGTTTTGAAGATTCGTGCTATATCTTATTTTCATCGACAAAACCTCGTAAAATGGAAAGAATACTGAAGGAAGAAACTGTTTATACAATTTACATGGCTAGAATTGTTCCCCTGGCTAAAGTACAATTAACAGACGCAAGGCAAATAATTCAGGTATATATTATAGTGAAGTACAAATTAATATGTTCGCACACTGACACATGGTGAATATTTTGCGCAAATGATGCTATATTGTTAGTCTAAAGTGTTTAACATTTCTTATGTTTTAGAGCATTTGTGGTTGTAAAAAGGCTATCTCCTGTTAAGTTACTTTCTTGTCCAGAGCATCTTGAGATTGAAATAAAGATAACAATTCAGCATGCCTTGACGGCTTGAGTGCTTGACCTTGAGAGAAACGATGACATTGGAGTTATATTCAATCATATCAATAATACATATTGCGTAGTATAAAGTAACAATAAATATAATAATACAATAGTATAATATTGTACTGGTACGCTATTATGTGAGAAATATATTTGTGACTTTGAAGATTAATATAATTTCAAAATATTACAGTATATGTGATATTGCACAGTGGCACAATTTTGACTCAATGGTTAACTGACTCAATCACAATCTGCCTAATCCAACTAAAGTCGACCACTTTTCTGTTCAAACGTAAGGCAGCTGTGTCTTTGTTGTTGGAAATTATTTTCTTCTGTTTCCCATCCAAGTAAAACTATAGCCATCAATAGACCCACAGCCCGTAATTGCCAATTACACATATCGCTATCTATTGAAAACAAAATCAAAATCATTTTGAGTATTGCGAATTATTAGGCTATGAATATGCTTGTGTTTATAAACGTTTTTATATTTTTTTGTCACACAATCCAGTTCATAATAAATATTAAGTTACACACACCAGATGTGTTCAGACACAATACCGAGGCGAGCACAATACAATTTATATATACATACATGCAATAAAAAGGATCTACTTACCACTAATTTTACAGGTATTGTACCATCACTTGATTGCTCCAACACAGTCACAGATGGTAGTTGCCTATCTGCAGCGGCGTTATATAATTTCTCTATCACTTCGTCTAGTGAAGCTGTATAAAAGCTGTTTAGGCAACTGGTTCATCATCGTATTTCAAAGCCGACTTAGTCACTTAGCCGAGTCCATACTCGTTGACTTCCAGATGCAGTACTGACCCTATTATCTGAATCTCTAACCATCATTCCGCCGTCAAATAAACAATAAGATATAGCACTTGTTCTTAGATTTTTAAAAATCAGTTATCTACGCCATAAACAAGTGAAATAGACAAGAATTCCACTGCAATATGTTGACGCGCCATATAATTTACTACAAATACGACCTTCATATCTTCGTTTCCGTTCATCTTATGACGTCACACGGCATCAATATGGCGACGGAAAAGTTCGCACGCGATAACCAACTTCAGAGGTTAAATTTGGCAACTTCTAAGCATCGCATGATGGTCAAATATATATCAAAATGCTTCTAAAAGACTGAATTTTTATTTAAGCTAAAAAAAACTAGGTCCAAAAATTCGCTGCAGTAGCACTTTAATGTGCTCTGTAATACCTTATTTATTAAAAATTAAGTAACAATATAAGTTTAATATTTAAATTCTAAACACACAGTAATGGTGGCAACTCTTGTGCTGTCAAGATGTTTCGTCTTTCGGCAGCAGGTTGTCAAGATATTGTGTCTTTCGGCAGCCAGTTAAAACCTTATTGTGCTATAGAGTACATACTACCCTACAATTAACTGTTAATAAGTGCAATTTGTCCTTTGTAAGTCACCTAATCAGTCAAGCTTATATATTGTTCAGCATGCACAGAGTCAACTGGTAAAGTCGCAGCAAGAATAAACTGCAAATCCGAGAAGGAATACACTTATTATTCTTTTAAAAATTCTATGATTTAATAGCTTGTGCTAAATTGTAACTAGACAAAAAAAAATTGCTTGGTGAAGACAGACAGTACAAGCGTTTGTCTTCACCATTGAGGTGGGTTTTTTTTTATTTCTATTGAATTGATCACAATATTAGGGATGTGTTAACTCAACTCAACCATCTTATGTATCAATTGTATGCCTAGACAGAAAATATGACTTGACTCAGGTTAGTAGGGTCACATTGATAATTTAACAAACTCACCCTATTATTAGGTAAAAGTATACTTAATTTTTTAAATATTTAATATCAAACTTTCTGTTCTTTTATAAATTATTTCCATTCATGATTCATGCATCATTGACCATTGACCCATGTGATGTGAACAATTTAACTATGTATTAACTGAGAGAACAATTTGGTGCAACATGTGATGATCAAGTTTGAAGTTGCTAAGTTGCTTTTATATTTTTTTATCAATATTTTTGTACAGTATTATATTTAATATCATCGTAAAATAACTTCACGGCTTACCTTCAGAATTCAGATATTAATTCAAAGTGTTGCCTGCGTAAAAATTGCTCTTGAGATGAACTAGGGTTTACCTTGCGAGTAAAATTTACACGTAAAATAGTAAAATACTGTCCAAACCCAGAGTACCAGATACAAAACTATAAAATACTGAATATAAAATGCTCGGCATTGCTCGCTCATCGTAGCGCCATTTTCATTTTTGAATCGGTAAAAAATGTCGTATAAATGGCGAGGCGGCGCGCAAATTCCTGAGTTAAGAAAACTGGGGCGAATATTTTTAGACCCAAGCATTAACACACCTGAGTGTGTTGCACTGCTTTCAAAAATCGTAGAACATACGCTGTCACCCGAAGAAGTCGTTCTAGGGTTCCAAATCACTCGCGCCTTATAATTTCGTTGAGGCCATGCGAAGAATTACTCAGTGTAGGGTTTGATAAACTTCGCGGTTTCGTTATTTTCATTTCCGCTAAACACTCTAGTTCTGGTGGTACGCATTGCTCGTCACCGTCTTCAAGTTCTTCAGTATTAGTTTAACCTGGCCAATCTGGACCACTGTGCCATAGTATACCGTCCGCTAGCTCTGCAGGGTTTTATTCCTCTTGAAGGTATGTCAGCTGGGTTATCTCCGCCTGGACAGTGTGTCGCCAAGAATTCGGGCTTATCAGATTGCGGATTTCCATTGCTCGGTTCTGCACGAACTGTTTCCACTCCCGATCTTCATTCTTGATCCAAAACAACGCTACTTTCGAATCAGTCCAGCAAACTGAATCTTGCAATTGTAACTCCAGACGTAAGACTTCCTCCACGTCTTTAGGTAATTTTGCAAGGATGAGACAGGATAACAGTTCGAATCGAGGAATAGTTTGTTTGTCAATGGGGACCACTCTTGTCTTAGATGCTAAAAATCTTACGTAAGTACTGCTGGCAGTTCTAATTACCAAATAGGTCATGAATATGCCATCTTTGACGCATCACAGAAGCCATAGATGGTGGAAGAAATTACTCTCTCGCTTATGTTATAGAAATAGCAACGGGGAAGGAGAATGCGTTTCATCTTCAGTAGTTCTGCTACTAGTTTCTCCCATTTTACTCTTATCGAATGTGAGATCTCATCATCCCAACCAACTTTACCTTCGCATAACTCTTGGAAAATTTGTTTAAATTGGACAGTTATTGGTGACATATATCCCAACGGGTCGTAAAACTTAGCGGGGAGTCGAATGATATTTCGCTTGGTGGGTTCAGAGGTTTTGGGCAATTCAGCTATGCCACTTAAGTCAAAAACAAGTTGATCTTCAACGAAGTTCCAATTTACACCAATAACTCGTTGTTCACTTTCAGATGCTGTGGGTTCAGTACCAAGCGTGATCCTTGAATATGTCTCATCTTCATCGACAGCGTCAGGTTGTTTTGAGTTGTGACTTGTACTAATATCCTTTGCCAGCTTGCTGGATGACGTAGTTTCGTTCCTTTCAATCGTCTCCATCAGCCCTGGCGAATTAGTAACAAACTTTCCTAAATTGAAACCCCCTTCAGCCAATCGGAGCTTTGCCTTCTTATACAGCATGTAAACAGAGTCATCATCATTTCCACCCGAATTCAAGTCATCGACGTAAATGGCTCGTAAAAACGCATCCACAAATTTGTGGTCTTCACAACGGTACTGTCCGATGTGGTGTCTTATGGTGGCGTTGAGCAAAAACGGACTGGACGACACCCCAAACACGACACGGGTGAATCTGAGGGTAATGACCTTCGGGTGTTCACTCCATGCGTCGTCGAACCATAAGAAACTCAGGACGTTTCGATCTACCTTTGCGACTGATACCATAAGAAACGCCTTTTAATTTCGATATCTCCAGCTAATGCGATTCTATGACTCCGTAATCGTAGAACGATATCCATGATGCTCTGTGTCATTGTAAGACCAGTGTACAAGCAATCATTTAGGGACGGACCACTCGATTTTGCCGAAGCATCATATACTATTCTCAGTTTTGTGGTTTGCTTGTCTCGCCTTATCACCGCATGATGGGGCATGTAATGGACCCTTCCCATTTCACCAACATCTTCCTTATCAACTCTTTCTACAATTCCTCGATTCAACTCATCCTTGATAACAGCATCGTATTAAGTACCTCTGGGTCCCTTTGTAATCGTTGTAGTTAGCTCATTAATCGTCGGCGACTCATCTCAAAATTATCGGGTAGGATTTGGTGCTGTTCCTTCCGACGCATCCTTGAATGCGATGGCGCTCTGGAATTCGTCATGTACCGACCTATCTTGCTTCAGTATGCCAAGTGACTCTAAGTCCCAGAAAGGTCTCGGATCCTTTTCAATTCCTTGGCTCTGGGTTTGGGTAGGTGATGTTGCACATCTTAGGACA